TCAATTAAATTGAAGTACTACTATATAATGAAATACTCAGTGACCTATTAAAAAAAGGAGGCAGGTCAGTATGTGTGGTGAAATAGAGAGATCCAACATGACTTGAGTGAAAAAAAGCAAATTCTAGTTATGTGGTTACCTTTGTAATTTAAAAACAACCAGAAAAAAGGCTTGTAACATACCTGCATAGAAAATGACTGGAAGTATACACAGAACACAGTTAACAGAGGTTACTACTGGGCAGTAGGACTGAGGAGTTGGGCTTATTATATTAAGCCTGTTCTTGTTACTTGCTATTTAAAAACAATGAACAAGTTTTTTTTTAAATAATTAAAAATGACTTGGTAATCTAATTTTTAAAATTATAGTGTTTTTTTTTAGGAATAAGAATGTAAAAAAATTTTTGGGGGGGTCAAGTTGATTATTTTGTATATGATCCCTGTTGGTCTCCAGAGGTAAATGCCTTTTTTTGGTTGTTATTTGTATTGCTCTACTGAAAATGGATTAGAATGAGCTCTTGCTCTTGGATACAAATATATAATAGCATTGAAAATCCTGTTTCATTCCCAGGCGTTGTAAGTATGGGAGAAAAATACGATTTATTATTGTGATTATAAACATGATTTGTGATTGTGCTGGTTTTTAATTTGCCAAATGAGGAATATTAAAGAGCTGGTCTACATTGGAGCCTGATTGTGCCACTGTTCTTTGTATCCATGTTCTGGAACTTCCCGTTTCAGTGTGGAAGGTAACCTCTTTACAGCATTTCCCTTAACAGAGGTTACTAATTCATTGTTAGAAACCTCAGTACCATAGACTAGTGATTTTCAACTCGTGTGCTGCAAGAGTTTTTAAAACATGCACTACCTAACTATTTAATCAGGGGCACTAACCTCTTTTTTCTTAGGTTGTCAAAAAAAATGACAACAGTCAACACAATAGCTGACCGGTGTGAATGAATCAAAATTATACCTATTTTTGTTTTGTCAGATTGGCAAAAATATAATGTTTTTGGGTGTGCTGCAGAATAGTGGTAATTAGTTCATGTGTGCCATGAGATGAAAAAGGTTGAAAATTGCTGCCAAACATAATAAAGAACCTATGGTATCTCCTTGCACATTCCTAGAATCTTATATTTTGAGGGGACCAACTTCTTACCCTATATAAAAATCACTAGTGTTATATACTAGTAAGTTTTGTTAATTGGAGACTATACTTTTGCCTGTTGACACTAGTTCTGGTCTTAATCTTGGCAGACTGGCGTGTTTCATGTAGTAGTCCTTAAATATTTGAAGATGCCTGTCATATCTTTTATTTATCTAGGAACTTTTATTGAAATTCAGTTAATGACCATTCACTGGCTTTCATAATTCTCTAGGCCAAACATTTCTAATTTATTCTACCACTCTTCTTCTTAAGACCTCATTTCCAGAAATGTCACCACTTTGCAGTAGGCCCTAATGATGGTCTAACTGAATATAGACTCAAAGCGTGGATGGATTGTATAGTGCTCTGGAGTCATTACTCTTTGTCTAAAAGCTATACTTCTCATGATTCAGTTTAAGATTATTATATTTTTTTCAGCAGTAGAGTTACATTGGGAATAATTTTACAGCTCTTTAAATGGAGTATGAGGGCAGCTTACACATGTGTTTATCTGAATTGTCATTCTAGAGTCTTATGGTCTGGAACTTTAAGAGTTGGTTTTTGAGTTTGGGTTTTTACATTTTCCTTTAGTAAATATGTACTGTGTGCTTTCACAAATGCAATGATGGTGCTATGTTGCCTCTAATTATTGGTTCAGCCTGAAAAACTCGTTTGCATTATGATGCAAGGTGGCTGCCCCTCTCCAACTTTGAGTTGATGTTATCTTTGGTAAGCATATTGTTTCGGTAGAGTTGTTGCACTATTTTACCTTCCCACCAATAATATATGAGTTTAAATTTCTCTACATCCTCACCAACACTTGTTATTTTATTTTTTTAAATTTTAATTAAAAAAAATTCTGGCCATCCTAGTACATGCAAAATAGTATGTCATGGTTTTGATTTGCATTTGCCTTATAACTAATGCTGTTGAATATCTTTCCATGTGCCTATTGGCCACTTGTAAATATACAAATGGAGAAACTCCTTTTCAAGTATTTGACCATTTAAAAATTGGGTTGTGCCCTAACTGGTTTGGCTCAGTGGATTGAGCGTCAGCCTGCGGACTCAAGGGTCCCAGGTTCGATTCCAGTGAAGGGCATGTACCTTGGTTGCAGGCACATACCCAGTAGGGAGTGTGCTGGAGGCAGCTGATTGATGTTTCTCTCTCATCAGTGTTTCTGACTCTCTATCTCTCTCCCTTCCTCTCTGTAAAAAAATCAATAAAATATATTTTTTAAAAAATTGGGTTGTTTGTAATTATGTTGTTAAGTTTCAGGAGTTCTTTATATACTCTGGATATTAAACCATTATTGATAAGTGATTTGCAATAATTTGTTCTATTCTGTAGGTTGTCTTCACTTTCTTGATTTTGCTCTTTGATGCATAAAAGTTTTTATATTTGATACAGCCTAGTTTACTGTTTTTTCCCTCTTTTTGTTGCATGTGGTTTTAGTGTCATAGTTAAGAATCCATTGCCAAGATTCTAAGGTCATGAAGATTTATCTCTGTTTTCTTCTAAGAGTTACATGGTTTTAGCTCTTATATTAAGGTCATTGATCCATTTTGAACTAATATTTCTACATTGTGTGAGGGAGAGGCACATCTTTAATTCTTATTGTTAAGGTTGGTGTTTTTTTATTCTTAAAGTTTAATATTAACCTTGTATAATATATAGTCAGTATACCCTTAACTATTGAATACTAGATAGTTCTTGGAACTGGGCATTTTAGCTCTTAAAATATGTTCTTAATATTGATTCTTCAAGAATGACTCATACAGAGGCAATAGGAGAAAGGTTGATAAATTTTATTACATAAAAAGAAATTTATTTTTTGCATGGCAAACACCTTACAGTCAAGACACATGATAGACTAGAAGAAAATATCTGTACATATCACAGAATAACAGGGCTTAAGATCTCTAATATATAAAAAACTTAAAAATTTAAGAGAATAAACTATAGTAACCTGATAGGATAATGAACAAAATACATAAAGGATAATTCCCCCCTCCCAAAACATTTAAAAATGGCCCCTAAACTTATGAAATGATTTCAAACTCATAATTAGAGAAATGCAAATTTAAATACACTGGGATACCATTTTTTAAAAAATATATTTTATTGATTTTTTACAGAGAGGAAGGGAGAGAGATAGAGAATTAGAAACATCGATGAGAGAGAAACATCAATCAGCTGCCTCCTGCACATCTCCCACCGGGGATGTGCCCGCAACCCAGGTACATGCCCTTGACCGGAATCAAACCTGGGACCTTTCAGTCCGCAGGCCGACGCTCTATCCACTGAGCCAAACCGGTTTCGGCTGGGATACCATTTTTTAGCTTGACAAAAATTAAAGTATAACAATCCATTCTGTTGGTCAGGCCATGAAGAAACACGTTTCTGATATGATAAACTGGTATCACCCTTTTTGGAGAATTTGGCAATATCCAACAAAACCATATGTATGTATTTGCCTTTTGAGCTATCAGGTTCAATTCTCGGATTTTTTCTATAAGTTACAACTGCAACAATAGTGAAACTCCATATGCAACATTGCAATCATACATAGGAGAGTAGTTGAATAAATCATGGTATATCTACATAACAGAGTACTATGCAGCTATGAAAAGAATAAAGGAGATATGTGAACTGATTTCTTAAATAGTAGATAAATCTCCAGGATATATTAAGTGAAAAATAGTATTTATAGATCATATTACTCTAACAAGAGAAAATAAAATGTACACACACCTGGGCATTTGTGTAAAAGGAAACAGGAAAGATACAATGAGATTGGTAACACAAAGAGATGGAAAGGATGGAGAGGATTTGATACTTCTCTGATTTTACCTGTTTTGAGTAGTTTTGACTATTAGTACTAAATTAATATTTCAGATGCTCAAATAAAATGAACAAAGGTAGGGGAGAGGTTGGGAAAAAAAAATCCCAAATGGAATAATACAAACAGAAACAAATGATCTTAACTGTATTTCAGATGAATAACATAACCGTGCTGAAGGGTGGACATGGGGAGAACTAACCTAAGTAATGTTGCTATATAGGATTTTGACTATGTAGTCTAAGGCTATTGACAAAAAATAAAATAAATTATAAATAAACCTAAGGCTAAAGCCAAAAAAATCCCTGGCACAAATATTGTTAGTGATTTTTTTTTCACAGTGGTATGGTTAGAACTTCAAAACTACTCTGTATTCTAGATTAGAGCAGATATATACTTATGAAGCTGCATATGTAGGTATCATGGTTACCATCATCTCTGTGACTTGCTCTGCTTGTTTGCAGCCCCTTCAGTAGCTTGTGCATCCTCTGCTTGTGTGGTCTCTTTTGCTTTTTGTTTTTCCACTTGTGTGGTGCTTTAAGTCGGACTTGCTGTCATGGTGCTTCGAGTAGCTAGGTGTCCTTTCTGGATAGTTAAGAAATGAGCTGACCAACAGGAGTAATTAAATGGAGAAAGCTTAGCTGTCCTTTGTCCCTTGTCCCTTGTGTGAAACATAATGAGTTTAGAGGATTCTAACTACAGGGAATCATTAGGATCTGCTGGACAGGACATTGATTTTACTTTTTACTCATTACATTGGTGTAAAAATAGCATCTTTTAAATTTAATGTGAAAATTATTTTGTGTTCTAGCTGGCACTAATTTTTAAAATGTACTTTCTGGAAAAATCAGCACATGGTTAGTATAAAATTATCTTAGTACTAGATACTCATTATTAATAATTTTTTTTCTAATTGGGAAATAAGTTGCTGTGAACATTTGAATTTTTATTCTAGACTGCATTAGAAATGTTTGGTATTTGCAAATATTTTTCCTTTGGTTTGATTTTCTAGGTTGCACGTTTTCAAAAAATTCCTAATGGTGAAAATGAGACAATGATTCCTGTATTGACATCAAAAAAAGCAAGTGAATTACCAGTCAGCGAAGTTGCAAGTATTCTGCAAGTAAGTGCTTGGTGGGGAGGAAAGGAGTACCTAGTAAAGTCAGTCACTTAGACTATTGATAAGTGCTGTCCAGTAGAATTTCCATGATGACAGAGTACTCTCTTCTGTGCTACCCAACATAGTAGTCACTAATTATAAACATGACTATTGAATACTTGGTGTGGCTAGTGTAGGGGAGGAACTGAATTTCATTTTATTTAATTTTTACTTATTGAAATTTAAATAGCTGCATGTGGCTAGTGGTCACCTGCTTGGGCAGTGCCTCTCTAGATCATTAGCATTACCAGGACTGTTAGTACTATGTAAGGATTAGTTGGATTAGGAAAATAATCAATTTAATTATTAACGTAAGTAGAATTAGGAGTTAATCTTTTTTAATGTGTTTTCTAAAGTAAAGTAAAAACTAATAAACTTTAATCTCTAATTTTGAAAAGCACAATCTAATGAAACATGAAGAAAAGAATATTTTTTATTTTTCCTTAAGAATTCACATATTTTAGTGATTGCATTAAAAATATTGGCTATCCCTTATTTGATGGTTTTCTTTTTTGGTTGTTGTATTTATATTCTGTTTTAAAACCACTTATTTTAAATATATTTCACTTTTGCAAGACTCTGTTATTGGAGTGTATTATAAACTTTGGCCAGAGAAACTATTTTAGGGGTGCAGGTAATTTAATTTTTTAATGATAGTTACTGTAATGAATAATGAGAGACAGTGGCTGAAGAATATAGGTGGTATTCATAGAACATAAAATATCCCAAGAACCAGTTCATCTTACCTTCATTATTTTGAGTAATTTAGGAACCAAAAATTTTCTGCTTGAAATAATTATATAGTCCAAGGGCAAAGTTAATACTACTAATATCAAGGTTTTAATAGGCTTAAAGAACACGGAAGGTCATTATGGCTCATTGATTGTTTTGGGGAAACTAATTCTAAAAAACAACAATGAAAGCAAAAAAAGCCAATTAGAATATAGTGATATTTTACTTTCTGGAAGAGTGGCTGGTTTGTATTCTTCTTTTTCCCCGTAGAAAACTATTTTTTTTGTTGCTGTTTTTATTAATCCTCACCAGAGGATTTTTTTCCATTGATTTTTTTTTAGAGAGAGTGGAAGGGAGGGGGAGAGACACACAGAGAGAGAAACATCAATGTGAGAGAGACACATTGGTTGGTTGCCTCCCACATGCACCCCAACCAGGGCCAGGGATCAAGCCTGCAACCTAGGTATGTGCCCTTGACTGGAATTGAACCGGGGACTCTTCAGTTCACAGGCTGATGCTCTATCCATTGAACCAAACTGGCTAGGGCAAAAACTATTTTTTGTTTGTTTGTTAAACACCAACTTGTTGCTTACATTAAAATTTTTTTTATTAAGGTATAATTTACATAAGCTACAACATACCCATATTTAGTGTACAGTTTGCATTTTGACAAAAATAACCACCACCACAATTAAGATATAGAACATTTTCATCACTCCCCAAACTTTTCCCCTGTGTCCCTTTGCAGTTAATCCCTCCCAGTGTATACCTCTGGCCCCAGGCAATCACTGATACGCTTTCTGTCAGCATAAATTAGATCTGACTGTTGAAGTTCCTATAAATGTGATCACACAGTAGATGCTCTTTTTTTTAAACTATTTTTATTGATTTCAGAGAGGAAGGGAGAGGGAGAGATAGAAAAATCAATGATGAGAGAGAATCATTGATGGGCTGCCCCCTGCATACCCCCCACTGGAGATGGAGCCCGCAACCCTGGCATGTGCCCTCAGTCGGAATCGAACCTGGGACCCTTCAATCTTCAGGCTGACGCTCTCTCCACTGAGCCAAACCGGCCAGGGCACACAGTAGATACTCTTTTGTATTTTTCTTTTTTTGTTCTCTGCTAATATTTTCAATAACTTTTATATGTAAAATCTAATAGGCTGATCTTCAGAATGGTCTAAACAAATGTGAAGTAAATCATCGGCGAGCCTTCCATGGCTGGAATGAATTTGATATCAGTGAAGATGAGCCACTGTGGAAGAAGTATATTTCTCAGGTGAGATACTATGAATAGTAGAGTTCCCTTTGCAGATGTCTAATTTACACCCTTTTTATATTAGGAATGCTAACATTTTTTAAAGTAATATGGACATCTTAGAAAAAATTTTTAAAGTAATATAACCATCTTAGAAAATTAGTAAAAGTTTGACAGTTTGAATTCAGATCACCTGGGTACATATTTTACCTTTATTTATACTATCTGTATGACCTTTATTATCCTCTGAGCCTTGTCTATAAAATGGGGATAATAATGGAGGTAGTAAGCTATCGATAGATGATAGCTGTTTTTAATTACATTTTATCAATAGCCTAATCTTTTCAGAAAAATATATTGTAAAATTTTTTTCTTACCTTGATAACAAGTTATGTTAGTGTGAAAAGCTACAAGAATCCTATGGCCAATTTTCCACTAGTAGGGTTAGTTTGCCAAATTTTTTTTTTTTAGTAAAGACAATTTTTAATGTCTTTTAACCTGCATCATGGGGTTGCTGTAAGAATGAAATGAAACAGTGCCTATAATGTAGTTAAGCACAAACAGTAATTAATAGTAAATATCACTTGTCAATCATAAAGCATTAGGTGACTCTACTCCTTTACAGAAAACATAACTTGTTGTTTTGCAGGCATTTGTTGAGCCTGTAAGTCAGCGGTTCTCAACCTGTGGGTCGCAACCCCTTTGGCGGTCGAACGACCCTTTCACAGGGGTCGCCTAAGACCATCCTGCATATCAGATATTTACATTACGATTCCTAACAGTAGCAACATTACAGTTATGAAGTAGCAACAAAAATAATTTTATGGTTGGGTCACAACATGAGGAACTGTATTTAAAGGGCCAGAAGGTTGAGAACCACTGCTGTAAGTGGTGTCCTTAGTACTATGACACACAGCTTTTTTAGAGGGAAATAAAAGAAGACCATGGGCCTTGTCCTCATAGTGTGATGATAACATCTGACATTGAAGAGGGTTTTATGGTTTACACAGTTCTTTAATATACATTCTTAGTTAATTCTTACCACAATCTTTGGTATAAGGTGCTATTTTATTAGATGAAGAACACTTAGGGCTTAATGAGATTAAAAATCACACAGAAGTGACAAGAGCTGCATTCAAATTGGGACTCTGACTCAGTCAAGTGTGTGGTTTGTCAGCCCTGAACCACATTGCACTTGTAGTTTTATTTTGCTAGAGCAGTGATTTTTCAGTCCTCTATGCAGTCAGATCACTTGGGGAGTGCTCTAAAAATGCCGAAGCCTGGGCCCTAAGCCCAGAGATTCTGATTTAATTGGTGTGTGAACCTGGGCATTTGTTAGAAGTTCTTCACATGATTCTGATGTGAAGCAGGGTTGGAACCACTGTGCTAGGGATAGAGCCCTAAAGGGAGTGGGAGGTGGTGGCGTCTCACCTCAGAGCTGTGGTAACCAAGGGCTGGGGCTTTCTGCTGGGATAGATTCTTTGTAGTTTAGTACTTTGAAGTTTTGACAGCAGTTGGCACCACTTCATCAGTGGAGGAGATTCTGGCAACAGAGTGGTGATGTTTAAGGAGTAGGATGTCTCACTGGAAAAATTTAGGGTGGCTCTGATGTTTGGTCACTTAAGTGCTGCCTGATTGAGTTTGTGCTGTGGTCTTGTTTCTTCATATACTATTGGCTCTGCTAGAAAGGGTATCAGAAAAAGCAATCTTGGGAAAAGGCTGCTTCCTTTTTGTAATCTGAATTGTAATCTTCACTAATTTACTTGGTATAGGAATATTGAGGACTGTTTTAAACTAATAATTTAGGTGTTCTACCCAGTGTTTAACTTAAATCTTTAGCTTAGCAATCATTTTCCACTTATTCTAGCTTCAGTAGGAACATATGTATGTACATATAAAAAAGCTAATATATAAAATACATGTTTACTGTAAGAAATTGGTAATTAATTAGTTTTTTTAATTCTCACCCAAAGACATGCTTTTCATTGATTCAAGAGATAGGAAGATAGAGAGAGAGAGATAGAGAGAGAGAACGATGTGAGAGAGAAACATCTGTAAGTTGCTTCCCATACATGCCCCTACCAGGGATCGAACTTAAAACCTGGGTATGTACCCTGACCTGGAATCCAGCTGGCCACCTTTTGGTGTACTGGCCAACACTCTCACCAACTGAGACACACCAGCCAGGGAGGTAATTGGTTTTAGATATTGATATTTAAATTTTTTTTTTTTCTGAAAGGAAGATGTTATAAAGTGGTAACTTTAAATGTAGTTTAAGTGTAAACTTTTTTGTTAATTGAAGAGATATACAAAGTAAACTAAATGTAGACTCGTAATTTTCTAATCATGTCTCAATAGTTTTTGTGTTTTTTTTTCAAGCTTTTGCAGTGACGGACACAACTATCATTCATACAAAACTGTTGAATTGCTGTTTGTTTTTACTTTCAGTTTAAAAATCCCCTTATTATGCTGCTTCTGGCTTCTGCAGTCATCAGTGTTTTAATGCATCAGTTTGATGATGCTGTCAGTATCACTGTGGTAAGAAATATATATATGTATATATTTTTTAAACTGTCAATTAATCATGGAAATTAGGATTGGCTTTTATTTTGGAAAATGAATTGAGAAATGCCTTAGTGTTTTCTCAGGTTTGTTTTCATTAGTTTCCAACTTGCTTTTAGTTGCAGTAATCTCAGTGTTCAAGGGTTAGTGATTGGCACATGTGAGAATTTAACAATTTGGTAATTTCACAGATACAAAATATTTTATAATAATTTTCCAGTTACATTTTCAATTTATTTTACTTTCCAATTGAGAGTACATTTTGACTAGTTGTGAACTAAAGCTTCATGCTTGTGAAACTAAAAGTATGATTTAACAATGCACATTGTATTTACTATGTAAAATTTTATTCTTTCCAGCTGGGGTATTCTAACTCTCATTGAAAATTTTCTCATCTTTTTTTTTTCTTGCCTCTTGTTTCACTGTAATATTAAAATTTATAGCAAGTAAAACCATTGAATAAAGCAAGTGTGTTATGCATAAGAACACAGTAGAAATTAATGTAGAGCTGCAATTTTTGAACTCTTGCTTGGAGACTCCCAGGAGTCTCTGCGGCCCTTTCAGCGAGCATATGCAACTTTTTTCATAATACTAAAACATCTTTTGTCTTTTCACTAAAGATATTTAAGTCAGTGGTACAAAAGCAATGGTGGGTAAAACTGTTAGAACCTTGGCTCAAATCAATATAATGGCACCAAACGATACTAATAGTCATTGTTCTCTTTTATTATTTCTCTTAGGAATGTTTTTGATAAAACAGTACAAATTAATTTTATTAAATCTTGACACTTGCATACATACCTTTTTAATATTCTGTGTAATGAAATGGCAAGTATGCATAAAGAACTTCTGTATATTGAAGTATAGTGGTTATCTTGAGGAAGGGTGATTATGGTGAGCTGAACTAGCCTTTTACTTGAAAGAATGATTGATAGACAAACTAGTATTAAAATTAGGATAACACATACTTTTTCTGAAAGTGAATAAAATGAGCCTTCCACTTCAAGAAAAACAACTGACAATTTGTTGCCAGTGATATAAATTCAAACTTTCAAGTGATAATTAGAATTTTGCCAAATTTTTATGCATTACTGTGTGCTAAATAGCTTCCCAATATTTAAGACTTTATTCTCATGAGATCAGTAGTAAGTTTAGTGAGTGTGATTTTTTTTACTATTATGAAATGTGCCAACATTTGAATGAGTTGAATAACCAAGTAAATCAATATTTTGTAAATTACCAGAGCATGATGTTACAGAATTTTTAGTGATAAAAGATCAATTCAAAATGCAAGGTAGATCAGTGGATTTTAATATAACAGGTTTTGAAAAGTTCATTGATACTGTTTTATATTCTACATTGCACATTATTTTACATAGCTAACATTTGTCTAATTTTGTTGTAGTCGCAAAGAAGACTATACACAATAGTCTGGCAAAGCTTTTAAAGTATTCCTCTTTTACCCAACAATATGTGTGAGGCTAGAGTTTCTTTATATACTTTGGCCTAATCAACATAGTTCAATAAATTGAATGCAGAAGCATATATGAGAGTCCAGCATTCTCTTAAGGCAGGCATTAAAGATAGAAAAATTGAAAAATACCACTTTTCTCACAAAATTTTTTTGAGGGAATATAATTTTCATAAAAAATGTGCTGTTAACATGTAATAGGTTAGTTTTAGATGAATTAATAAGTAGAAATTAAAAATAATTGAAAAAGTATTTAATATGACAAATATCTGTAGGTATAACCTACATAAATAAAAACTGGTCAGTTTTTAGAACAAAGAGATCCTGAGATCAGAAAGTTTGAGAAGCTGCCCTTGGGGAGGCAAGCCACTATCCGTTTTTTCCTCATAGGGCAGAGTAAATTGTGATTTCTTTCCCAGTTCATTTCAATACTTAGTGTCTGATATCTTCATTCTGCAGATAGAGTCAGAAAAATAAAATACAAGTAATAGTTATTTTTGAAGTTATAACGTGTGATTTAAAAGGATGTTTCTTTGTTTTGTTTAGGCAATACTTATCGTCGTTACAGTTGCCTTTGTTCAGGTGAGTAGTTAGCCTGTTTTGCCCACATGAAATGATATTTTAGTTACTTGCTTAAAATTAAGGTAGCTTAAGGCAGAATCTGTAGTTATTAGGTCATGGTAATGTTTGTCACAACAAGTTGTTATTTATTTATGAGACAATTTCAGAAACAACAACTCTCTTGGGAAATCTGTGGGACTAACTTGACTGCTTTGATTTAGGTAGTGGCATGAAGAAAATCTAATTTTTTATTTGATGGTGTTATAGACAGCTGAAGCAGATGGAAACAAAAAGCATAGTAATAGATATATATCCATCAATAAGTTTAAAAATGTTCTTCCATTTTAAAAAGGTTGACCAAGGTTTAAATTTCTTATTTCTGCATAGAAGGGATTTTCTGATCTTGATCAGACTCTCTACTTAGCATAGATATTGAAACAGTAAATAAAACATACGAAAAGGAACTTAAACTTTTTTAAAATATATATATATATTTATTGATTCATAGAAGAAGGGAATGGGAGACAGAGATAGAAACATTAACGATCAGAGAGAATCATTGCTTGGCTGCCTCCTGCACACCCCACACTGGGGATCAAGCCCGAAACCCAGGCATGTGCCCTGACGGGTAATTGAACCAAAACCTCCTGGTTCCATAGGTCAGTGCTGAAACACTGAGCCATGTCAGTTGGGCTATGAAAAGGAACTTAAAAAAAAAAAGTGAATAATGTGGAGGTAATTTTAGGATTTTTATTGATAAGTATAGGCATACGTAAAAACATAGGCTTAGTTTTATGTTTATTTAAATAGCTGATACCTTCTGAGAACAATGTTGGCAAGTCTCATTAGCTAAAAATTCTAAAGCATGTTTAATAAGATTATAAGGATTATTTTAATTGAGAGGGAAATGTAATATATCATGATCTTAAAGTTCATGTTGTTTTGAGTCTTAAGTGATTGTGGTTATTTTCACATCTATGATTTATTCCTTGGGTATTTACTGTCATCCTATAGTAATATCTAATTTAGTAAGTTTATTAGTTTTATAGAAATCCTGTGTAGAAAAACCAGTTGGAATCAGATTATCTGCAGCAAGTTTGTGATCTCTATCAGTCAGCTGTCCAGGGACCTGTTTCTAGGGAATCCTCTTGCCTAGAACAGACAAAAGTTGCCCTAGGGCAGGTGGAACTGTTAGTCTTACAGAGGTCATTCCAAGCTAGGCATCATTCAAGGCAGCTATCGTTTAGCCATGTGGGCGATATAACCCACTGGATCAATAACTGGAACCCTCTTGCATCTTTAATAATGCTATAGATATATGTAGTGACTTTCTTCAGAAAGATTCTTACAGTTTTATCACTGTATATGGAAGACCCTAGTAGCTTGTTGTTTTGGTAAATAGCCCTTATCCTCAAAAAACAAACGAGCAAATTGCAATTTTAACATAGTCAATGTGGAATTTTACACAAGGGTAGTGTGTTATTCACTTTAATAAATGCAGTGGCTGAAACCAAGCAAACTTATTCCACAAACTTTTGCAGTTAGCATGGACCTAAATCCCCAAATCAGATGTTGCTTGAGGTTAATTGTATTGACCTCTTTGGTTATTAAACACTAAAAGTAAAATTATCTTAATTATGAGGTTCAATGATCTTAACTTTTAATAACTGACAATTATATACTCTTTGGACATACTAATCAGTTTTCTTCATTTTCTTACAAATAGCTTGACCTTAGGTTTGCACACTAACATTAAAATATAAAATTGGGAATATTTAATAATCAAAGTTGTTTGTCACTGAAACATTATTTAATAAGAGACAAGCTTTTATGTGCAGAATATAATTGCAAGTAAAGGAAAAGATAAGAATTGGGAAATTTTAAAATAATGATTGAGATCAGTATTTAATTAAGTCTAATATGGAATATGTACTTAGGAAAATACATATTTACATTTCTTTATAAATAAATATTTTAATATTAAGTCCTCTTTCTTTATTTTAAATAGGAATATCGTTCAGAAAAGTCTCTTGAAGAACTAAGAAAACTTATGCCACCAGAATGCCATTGGTATGATCTTTATCTCTGATATGGGTTTCTACTCTTAAAAATAGAAATTGAATGTGACTAGTGCAGAGATACATTGTGGCCTCAGACTTGTTTATTATTATTTTTAAACATAGACTTTTTGACTTGCAAACATTATTTATTTTAAACTTTATTATTGACACTATTACAGATGTCCCCATTTCCGCCCCCTTTGCCCATGTCCATCTAGCCCAGGGGTGGGCAAACTTTTTGACTGGAGGGCCACAATGGGTTCTTAAACTGGACCAGAGGGCCGGAACAAAAGCATGGATGGAGTGTTTGTGTGAACTAATATAAATTCAAAGTAAACATCATTACATAAAAGGGTACGGTCTTTTTTTTCTTTTGTTTTATCCATTTCAAACTGGCCGGATCCAGCCTGCGGGCCGTAGTTTGCCCACGGCTGATCTAGCGTCTGTTTTCCACCCCACCACCACAGACTTATTTAAACATAGGTAGAAACCATTAATCTGACATGAAAAATGCATGCTCTGTTCAGTATAGCAAGTTGTACTATTAATACTTTCAAGCTTTGATTTTGATATTGTTAAGAGGTGGATATTCAACAAATAATTGTGTGTGTGTGTGTGTGTGTGTGTGTGTGTGTGTGTGTTTACAACTATGTGCTAAGCACTGTTATTGGTGCAGTGCTGCACAAACAGACTCAGATGATTGTTCTGCAGGCAAGCCCACCGGAATCACCTTTTAAAATAAAGTGGCATGGCTTTCCTTTTTAGCTATGGTTGTTTCTGTTTCATCTTACAGTGTTCGTGAAGGAAAATTGGAACATACACTTGCACGAGACTTGGTTCCAGGTGATACAGTTTGCCTTTCTGTTGGGGACAGAGTTCCTGCTGACTTACGCTTGTTTGAGGTAAGTTTGTTGTCTTGATCTGTTTGGGCTGCTCCAAAATTCCACAGACAGGGCTGCTTATTATCAATAGAAATTTATTTCTCTCAGGCTGGATAGTTCAAGATTAAGATGCTAGCATGGTCAGATTCTGTTGAGGGCCCTTTTTCTAGTGCATAGCTGTTGCCTTCTCACTGTGCCCTCAAATGGTGGAAGGGAACTCTGGGGTGTCTCTTTTATAACACTGATCCTATTCATGAGGGTACCACTTCCAAAAGATCTCACTTCCTAATACCATTTTTGAGATTAGGACTTCAACATATGAGTTGGGATGTTGCGGGGAGACACAGATATGTAGACCATAGCATTTGGTGATATGTTTGTGAGAAATGAATATACTTGGATGTAGGTTAAAGGATAGACATTAGTAGTTTTAAGGATTAACACATAGTTGATTTGAACATTCGATTTTCTAGTTTAAAAAGTGACATATATAAATGTATTTTTTTCTCATAAAATATATCTATTTTTCCCAGAGTGTTTATTTAGTGAATCAGCAACTCTCTTTTTTTATTTCTTTTTTTGTTTGTTTGTTTGTTTTAATCAGCAGATCTTTATGGAAATATGTGCTAGGTGTAGTGGGAGACAAAAAGATGATGTGATAGAATTTTTGTAATCAGTGAGTGTACTACTAGTATTTGTGTACACAAGCCACTCACCATAAAGTAACATAGAACTTGTTGAGTAAGAGAAGTACTAAGAATGCAGGATGAAAATTTAGAGAAGGAAGTGGTTACTTCTGATTTGAGCGAAATCAGAGAATACTCAGACAACTTGGCTTTAGTGGTAATAATTGAAAGGTAGTACTGGACAGAGATGGAAAAGATAATGAAGCAACAGTGTTTAGATCACTGTTATGTGTTCCAGTGTGTAATATGGGGCTAGAGTACTAGTATGTAAAGGATAGAGAACGTATGATGGAATCAGATTCAGGAGGGCCTTGGATACGAAGCTCCACTTCTAACCCTAGCTGGTTTTGCTCAGTGGATAGAGCTTCAGCCTGTGGACTGAAGGGTCCTGGGTTCGATTCTGGTCAAGGGCACATACCTGGGTTGCAGGCTCCATCCCTGGCCCTAGCCCCAATCGGGACTCCTGTGGGAAGCAACCAATTGATGTGTCTCACATCGATGTTTCTCTCTCTCTCTCTCTGTCTCTCCCCCTTCCTTCCACTCTCTCTAAAATCAATGGAAAAATATCCTCTGGTGAGGATTAATAAAAAACAAAACAAAACAAAAAGCTCCACTATAGATTGTATTGGTTAGGAATTATCTTTGAAAGATCATAGGCAGCTGGCAAATTATATTACCCTTAATCTGGCCATAGCATGTAGAATAGATTGAAGGGATGGAAAATGGGGTTAGGCAGCTAGTTTAAAAGGCCCTCACAGCCCATTAACATGCCAATATCATCTACTATTGGAACTAACATGCTATTTGTTAACACCTACACAGCTGTCAGTCTTTGATTCTTACTATGTCCTAAAATATGAGTGTTCTTATACAGAGGTTATGGAAAGCCTGAAGAATAGGCTTTTAAAAGTATAATAACAAACTTCCTTTAATTTTGAAATAAAGACCTTTGTTACAAATACCTAAAATTTACCGTTAGATGTCAGATTGCTTTAATTGGTTAATGGAAATAATTGATAATACAGTAAGTATTGGGAATGTTATTTTACTTTCATTTTTCTCCCCTTGATAGCTTTTCTTGTTCTATCTTTTTACTCCCTTTTTTTCTCCTTAATATTAAGTTTGTGATAAGACCTTGGATTGTTCTTCCTTAGAGATTTGGTAGGCTTGTCACTTAATATAAACAGTCTTCCTTCCCCTAATTTAAATTCATGAAGTTTATGTCATTTATTTTGGAGTGCTTCTCTTCCAGTTTAGAAGCAGACCTCCTTGGGGTGTTTCTCATTATTTGAACAATTTAAACAATATAATGACATAGAAACTTCAAAGCACTATTTAGGGTTTTCATTTAAGTAAGAATTAATTGATCTGCGAACTAATTGTCTCCAGGTTCATGTGCAATGTAAGTAAGAGGGAATTTTGACCCTTTAAAGGTTGATGCTAAAAATATTAGAAAGATATGTTTGGTGAAGTAATTTATTGGTAATTATTGTTTTCCCTATTTGTTAACTTTTCAGACATTTCATCAGCACATGTTTTACTTGGCAGTGCTATAGTTATGTGGATTTTCTGCTTTTACATAGTATATAGCTGCACATCTTTGATTCCCTCTACCACTTTTCTGCCCTATTTGTTTTACCTACTACCTGGTACCACAAGCAGGCTTTTGCAACTACTTTCCAAGTAGATTAAGATAACTTTCCTAAAAGATTTAAGGAAATCTCGTGCTGCTTCTAGATTTAAATGTACTGACTTCAGACATCATAAGGCTGATAAAGTTGATTTCTCTTCTGTACACAGAAGTCTTTGCAATGAAATTGGCTTATTGGAGTGTTGTTTGCTGAATTTTTTTAAAAAATAATTCTTTATTGTTGAAAGTATTACATATGTCCCCTTTTTTCCCCTACTGAATTTGACTGTGGTGATCTTTGATAATATTTGGAAGGCTAGGTGGTCATTTGATGTTTCTGCATGAAATAAACTCTACTAGAATTTAAAGGAAACAGAGAACTCCTCAGTTAGCCTTGGAATAGCATTAATTTCTCACAGAGTATATATAGTTCTCTTCTTATGGACCTGACCCAAGGCCAGGGTTGCCACTTTAGCATTGTCATGTTGCAACTCTAGAGTTCCTGTCATAAATTTCAGTGTTTCAGATTTTGGCTGTAAATCTTGCCTGGGCCTTCAGTAAGTAGCATCTTGTCATCATGTTCAGTGACTTGACTACTGTACAACTTTTATCTGATATTCTCTTTTCATAGGCTGTGTCTTAAGTCTGCTCAAGCTGCTGTAATAAAACACTGTACACTGGATGGCTTTAACACACATTTATTTCTTACTGTTCTGGGACTGGGAAGTCCACAGTCAGGGTCTGACAATTCAGTTTCTGTTGAGGGCTCTCTTGGCTTGCAGCCTTTTTGCTGTGTCTTCATATGACAGAGAGAGTGATCTCTCTTCTTATAAAGCCACTAAACCCATTATGAGGGCCTTACCCACATGATCTCATCTAACCCTAGTTACTTCCCCATTAGAGATTAGGGCTTTAATGTGAATTTTAGGGGGACACAATTTATTTCATAGCAGGCTGAGACTTTTAAAAAATTACTATGCAGCTCATATTTAAGAGCACTGTTACACATTCTTCTTGCTGCATACACTTTTTCTTAGTTTATTGATTTTTAGAGAGAAGAAGGGAGGAGAGAGGGAGAGAAACACTGATGTGAGAGCACTCCTGCACGCCACCCCACCAGGAATTGAGCCCCCAACCCCAGGCATGTGCCCTTGACCAGGAATTGAACTGGCAAACTTTTGTTTGCTCAACCAACTGAGCCACACCAGCCAGGGGTATAGACACTTTTCAAAAGAAGATTAATATTAGTAACTCTAGAGGCCAGGTACACAAAAATTTGTGCACTTTGGGGGCGGGGGGTCCCTCAGCCCGGACTGTGCCCTCTTGCAGGGATGTCCACCTGCTGGCTTAGGCGGCTGGAAGCAGGTATCTGGGATTTATTTCTCTTCTATAATTGAAACTTTGTAGCCTTCAGTGGAGCTCAGGGCCGGCAGGGCAGGTGGGAAGCTTGGCTTCCTCCATTGCCGGGGGCAACGCTCCAGCTCCATGGCCGCCGCCATCTTAGTTGGGTCAGTTTGCATGTTTGCTTCTGATTGGTTGGTGTAGCAGAGGTATGGTCAATTTGCATGTTTCTCTTTTATTAGATTAGATGAGGAATTCTGTTGTTGTTTTTTTGCCAGAGTCAGTTTTTCATAGCCAAAGAATGAACTCATGTGTGTTGGTGGAAGTACTCTTATTAGCTTAGGAGCCTTAGAGTCAGGAGAGTAAAAACTTAGAGGAACTGAGAAAAGGCATTCCTGGCCCATTAATTGGTGATAGCAAATAGATCAGTCAGACAATGACTTTAGATGAGGCAGTATTATAGACTATGTATACCTATATTACAGTACATTTTGCCTTTTTGGAAACAGCATATTTTCCATATTGTTCCAGGTAAAGTCTATATCAATATTTGAACTAAGAATTCTTTTTAAAAAAATATATTTTATTAATATTTTACAGAGAGGAAGGGAGAGGGATAGAGAGTTAGAAGCATCGATGAGAGAGAAACATCGATCAGCTGCCTCCTGCACACCTCCGACTGGGGATGTGCCCGCAACCAAGGTACATGCCCTTGACTGGAATCGGGACCTTTCAGTCTGCAGGCCGACGCTCTATCCACTTAGCCAAACTGGCTAGGGCTGAACTAAGAATTCTTTTGAAGAGGAAACACTATAAGAGTTAATGGAAAAGATGGTTTCTTTTGTCTGTTGAAAATATTTTACCTCTCTTAGCTGTAGATTTCTAAGCCCAAACATTGAAATGTAGCAAGATTTTCTTTCACTTGGAATTCTGAATGATTAATTCCATTGACACTTCTTTTGTGGCTCATATCATTCTTTGAAACTGTCTTTAATATCTAGTCACTGGGTACAACTGCCTTCTTAAAAAAGAAAGCCAACATAATTTTTATATGATTATCCAAATGTATCAAACTTCTTTTACCTCTGATGTGGCTGAGAGAGATATATAAAGCGGAGCAAATGTAGGTTTATAGTTGTGAGCACACGAAAACAGAGCTTACTGTTGTATTATTATTTATTAATTACTGTATTATTTTCCTCATAAACAACTGTAAACCTACTTTGTCCCACCCTGTATTAGCCATTTTTAAAAAAATATATATTTTATTGATTTTTTACAGAGAGGAAGGGAGAGAGATAGAGAGTTAGAAACATCAATGAGAGAGAAACATCGATCAGCTGCCTCCTGCACATCTCCCACTG